GTGTATCTGAGTAAATAGACGAAAACTTGACCCAAATTCGAAAGTAATAGGAAGAAAATAGATTAAGTCTGAAAAATATACCATATTAAATAAAAAATAGCAAAGAATTTGACGGAGATTTTTTTGTAAATGCTCAGTTAAAAAACCAACTAACAAGCAAAGAATCTCAGCTATACCATTCTTGTCAAAATGAGATTATCACTACTGTTTGCTCACATGCCGACAAAGATATAAAGATAAGAGATCGCGAGCACTAGACCTACGCATACTGTTGACTCATCATAAATTAAGAACAAAGTAACAACGTAGAAACTGTAAAGACAAAATTATGAATTACAAATAGTATTCGAGAACAGGGCCAAAAAACCTTTTTCAGGAAAGTCTGGGGAAAAACATAAACAACAGACTCTTAAAGTCAAATCTCCACCGTCTTTTGCACAACTTACGCGTAAAAATTGCCCCAGCTTTTATACAAAACAAGACCAGCAATTTAAAGCGGCATCCAAAAACCAATTTTCGTATTAAAAACAATAAAAATTCAAAAAAAAAAGTTTTGTATTATGGAACTCGGCAGGAGGAAAGATAAGTATTAAAGCGAGAAGATCCAGAAATGAGTAACCCGTAATCATAAAGATAAAATCGCCTGGCTGCTAATCAAACTTGCAGTATGACTATTGAGACTTGCAGCATCAATTTCTTTCAGCGTCCATTCGCCGTGACCACTTAAGTGTAGCTCCAAATCATGAAACTGCTTCAAGGAGGTTTTTTGCGAGACCGACACAAATGTTATCTGCTCCTGTAAATAACATCTTAATACTTAAAGAAATTTAATTTATAATTTTTTTTATTCAATATAAGTCTTGTTCTTCATTTAACTACCTATTAAATCAAAGAAAAAAACGTACTGAAGCACATTTAACGATTCGAGCAAGAAAGTCAGATTTGACAAAACAGTTCGTAACAAAGAACATTTAAATACAATGGTCATAATTAATTTATAAAACAAAAAGTCTGAGCCTGCACTTCTTTAAGCAGCCTATAAATTGCCATTTCTATTTCGTAGCCTAAAGCACTAGTAGCTTCATCCATAAAGGCAATACGAGGTCTATGATACAAAATTCGACCAATAGAAAGCCTTTGAAGTTCTTCCGGAGAAAGGACCTCCATCCTGAAAATCAAGAAATAGCTGCTGAGAACAGAAAAAAAACCACAATGAATTACAACAACATACCAATCCCAATCAACAGGGTTGTCGAATCCGCCACATCTTTCAATTAAATGTTCTAACTTAACCCATTCTAATATTTGCGTCAGACTGACCATTTCTAAAAAACATACAGAATGAAGATAAATAAGTCAAGAAAGGCCAGAAGAATAAAATATCCAACTTGATCACTGTCGCACCTTTTTCAATTGGTAAAGCCTTCAAAGGATAGACCAACTGTTGTCGCAATGTGCATCCTCCACTTGGGAAGTACGCTTTTTGCGGCAAAAAGAGCAGGACTGAAGAGCGAAGCTTCCAGTGCGTTTCCACCTTCCCTATATAATGTATTTAACTAAAAGCACGAACAGTTAATTCTCTTTTCCAGAGGATCCTAGAAACAAATTTTCTAAAGCTCTTAGATTTCAAAGTAGGCTTTTTCATAAACTGCAACAGGAACACACTGAACACTGGTATAAAAAAGAACTCAAAAGAAAAAACTCTCAAGAGTTAACAAACCAGATATACAGCTCCACAGTCCCGCAAAAACTCTAAATAACGCAGTTTTACCAACGCCACTGCTACCCGTTATTATTACGTTTTTCCCTTGAATAATCTGCATCGATAAACCTAAAACTTTGTGAAATCATACCTAGATACATAAATAGTAACAATATTTCTCAAAACAAAATGTATTCTTTTCCACTCATTTGGAAAAGCAATAAATACTCTTTTAGCTTCATTCTGCTCTAACTCCACTCACTACTGTCAAATTTTCATTTTTGAATACGGTGAGTAGTGAGTAACGATTCTTCAACACCAAGAGAAGTTTCCATGAATTTCTTTGCTGTAATCGCTCCAAACAGCAATTTTATTGAAAACTTTGCAAACAAACTCATTCCATCCCCCTTCCAAAACAAAACTAACAATCTCTCATCAAGCTTTTCAAAATTCCAAAACACTAAAATAATTAATTACCGGTAAAACTCTCAATACACTTTGATCAGACCTGAACAATAATTAAGCGAGACTTGAAAAGCACCGTGCAAGTAAACATGCCTGACACAAGTGGAACCGATGGATCTCCAGGAGGCGCAATAGTAACAGAGTCCATAGTTATTGCAACTCCATCATCTAACCACTCGGGATCATCTCTATCACGGCCACATTCAGTTCTAAATGTCAAAAACTTAGTCAAGAAGCCATTAAACAGTAGAAGTCACGATACCAGAAAAAGAAGAAATCTTAATCTGTTTCAGGTTCTTTCAGACAAAAAAACAAGATTAAATTTGAAAGGATGGATTTAATCAGTACCTCTGCAAAAGATATTCTATTTCTTCGTCATCAGAGTCTAATTCTAAAGCACGTCCCTGCCTCCCATGAAGCTCCTCAATCTATAAATACTTCCTGTAAAAAAAACCTAAGCTTCAAATAAAGCACTCCATTTCTCGTCTGTAGCTTAAGATCCTGCTAACACAAAAATGCAAGTCTGTTAAAAGGGCCCCGACCTCTGGGGCTAAGGCCTAATATATAACCTTGCTAGGCCTTTTCCAAAACACCAAATCTTGTCTCACAGCAATCAGTTTGATCAGCCTTCATTAATTCCCTCCCCCTTCATCCCACTCCTACTGCGGTGAATGTGGTGCTTGAAAAAGCAAATGCGCAGCAAAAACCTTTGGCCTAAAATAACAGACATTTTATACGATTATAACCTGTCACAATCCCACAGTAGTTTTGAAGAGTGCCGAAACGAGTTTAGAGCCATCAGGATGCTGTAAAAACGAGATATTCAACTATACTGGCCCAAATACGGAAGAGTCAAGCTTTTTTCGAATTACTCATCCATCTTCTGCATGCGCCTATATTCCTCGTAGGAGTCTCCCGTAACTTAGGATACTTTTCATCCATTTATGACATTCAAATCGGCAATCCCTGGAGAGTTTCGGAAATGAATTATTCGGCTGTACCAGTTCGCTCAGGGCAAAATAAGCATCCTTTTGAGCACACTACTCTTGAAAGTTTTCATATTCTGCTGAAGCATATCACTTTAAATATTTGTTTGGTCGTTAAATTCAGTATTGAAAGTGTTTGGTGCTTTATATCAAGGAAACGCTTAATCAAATCCCTTTTTCTTTTTACTGTTTTAAGCCAAAGGTTTTTTTCTACAAGCGAGCTCTTTTCAAGCATCGCGGTCATCAAAAAAAAAAAAAAAAAAAAAAAAAAAAAAAAAA